TTAAAAATTGAGGCTCATTTATCTACTTAAAACATTTAAGAGTTTTGCATGTTATTTGTTCAAAGGGATTTTTGCTTGTAGGGTGGGATTGTGAGGAATAAAAGATTTGTTTGCAGGGTGGGGGTTGTCCAGGCATGGTGTCTGTTTTGATAATTTAGGTTTGGTCCTTCATTGTTACAATACTCGGAGGCCTCTGGGCATAGGTGACTTAATTTAAAGTTGTTATTATTATTATTAAATATGGTTGTTCAGAGTATAAAACACGTTGCACAACATGAAATATCTCAGTTACACACTGCAAGGTCTTCACTGAACTGATTGGCAATGCTAAAAAACAGCAGTAAGCCTGCACCATAAAGAGGGTATTTAAACTAAACTTTAGTGGAGTTGGAAGCCAGTCCATAGCAGGCTTCTGTCAAGAGGTTTTACTGCTAGTTAGCTGGGTCTTGTTTGTAGAATTTTCAGTTTCTTGGTAGACCCTAAACTTTTAAAGCCTTGAATCACAACTATTTATCACCCATCAGGGAGCTACATAAAATGTATTTTCCTTCAGAATGACTATTCTCATAAAAACCCTAATTTAAAAAAAAAAAAGACAATTAAGAATATTTTTTTTTAATCTACAATATAGCCCAACTAACAGGGATTCTTAAAACTAAACACTATGAACCACAAAAATTAATGCCACCTGCAAGCTGTAAATATGTGTATTATTTAATTTTTTCCCAAGTATTTTCTTTGGCTGTTATATTCAGCTGAACAAGGCCTAAAAATTGTCAAACTAAATTCTTGTTCAAGAGTAGAGCTCTAACTACTGCCAGTTTGAGTGAAACACACATCCAGGTTTAGGGAATATGTTTTGTTTATTTTGGCTGCAGCGCAGGGTAGAACATTTTCCATCCCATCCGAATGCAGTCAAAAAGGTTTTGAAATATTGCACAATAAAAGCCATTCATTATATCTGTCTCCTCTCCCTTCCAAAAACAAAAATGGCTGACCAGTTCCAAATCTGTGCAGGGGGCAGGAAGATGGGAGTCAAGGGGTCACTGGAAATAACCCAAGACTAACACCAGGTTTTTCAGGTTTGAGTTAGGGAATATGTTCCATGCCCTCATTCCCAGTGCACACAGGTTTTTCTTCTTCCCCCTCCAAAGCTTAGTTAAAGTAGTTAATTGCTCTGTTATGCACAATTTACAGGACTTAATTACAAAACTAATACATTAGCCTTCTTGTCTATAAGTCACAGGCACAACTTCATCTTTTCCACTGGGACACAGTGAAATTAGACCTTACCTTATTTCAAGTTAAAACATTTTGACTTGCACTGTTTACCTCCTAATTTTAAATTTAAAAACATATTTGAAGGAATACCCAACTACACTTTACAGTTTGTTTTTAGATTTATTTCCATTGCTTACCTACCTGTTAGCAGCTTGAAAATGAGATTTCTTTCACTGCCCACTCCTGTTCCTGTGTGGTTAAGCTATACTTGGCATACTTCAATGGCTTTTTTTTTTTCCCTCTCTCCATTTCCTTATACATAGCTCTAACAATGCTTTTCTGTTTGCTTCCTTGTGCATAGATCAGTTCATCACTAAAGTCTTTCCAGGTCTAAGTGAACTCAGAGTGCTAGAGGATTCAGAGTGAGGAGGAGGAAGAAGAATAGAGCACAAACATTTTAGTGCATTTCTAAACAGCAACTATAGAGCACACACATTTTAGTGCATTTCTAAACAGCAACTAGACTAGATGACTAGATGACCACACAGTAGTGAAATTTATAGGCAACCCTTAGGTGTTTCAGTATCCCCTTCTATTGCCCAATTAGTCAGAAGCAAGTAGAGAAAAATAAGCTGAAGACTAGATGAAGCTTTATTTACAATTGATTATTTTAAAGGTTAAAAAAAGGCTTATACTATTCTTGTTATTTTCTTTCCCCTGCTTACCATGAGTGTCAGGTTGAGAAAACTATTTTACTTCTGTTAACTCACATGTGAGAAAACTTGGTCATGTCGTCTCCACTTTTGTAACTTGTGTGCATCTTAATTATGGCAAAATATTGGCATAAAATAATTCCTGGAAAACACTAACACTTTCCCTTTAAAACTTTCTGAAGAATTCAAGTATAAGTATTGTTGTTCTTTGTATCTTCAGCTCACTAACATTAAGCAAAATCAAGCAAATATGCTTAATTAACATTAAGCAAATATAACCATTCTAATTGTGAAATACTCCTTACCGCTAGCTGTCAGATACTCAGCTATCTGAAAATGTATCAAGACAGCACTTCATAGGATAGTGCAAGCAAAAGTGATATGTAATTACTCTTACTTATTAACGACATCATAATTAGAGTGGCAAAATAATCAGTCTTTCTAGGACCCATCACTTATCCTCTATGTCAGTCAGAGCATGATAATTACATGGCAATCCGCTAAATGCAATTATTCAGCAATATACACTTAGTGCTAGCTGTTACCATATTCAAAACCATTTAAAGTCTATACAATACAGCACTTAACATTAGTGAAGTACTTTTAAACACAAAGTAATCTTTATAACAACCCTCTAAAGAGAGAAAAAGCCTCCCTTTAGAAGAGTAGGGAGAGTAAATGAGAGGTGAAAGAGACTGGCCAACACCATAGATTTATTTAGATGCCACTATAATACAGAGACTGACATGGAGGTCAGTACTGCACAAAATAAAAAGGTCAAAAAACAGTGACTTAAATTGAAGGCTACAAAGGCTGCCTTCACACTGGGAGACTGCACCAGCCAACTCCCCAGTCTAACATACTGCGTAGTGATGCTCCACCGATCAAACTAAAACACAACTCAGTTTTACACTGCTGACTTTGTGCATTCTTCTGTCCAATGACTCTGTTGCAAATAAAACTGCGGGTTGTATTAGAGTGACTAAGCTAACCTAATGTGACAGACCACCGTTAAAATCTACTCCAGATAGTGCTGCAATTAACAGCTGAAAACTAGAACCACAAACTCAAAATATCGACACCTGTCTGCACTCACACGGAATATACCTTTATTTTAATTCCTACACCCCAACATGGCAATAAAAACAAGAGACCATTCACAAAGTTCTTCTGTTGATTGAATAGGGATAGCGAAGCTGCTGGTCATTCAAAGGTTAATGTTAACTCGGTTTTAGAAAAGCAAATCTGAAAATGGAACAGCATTGTTCGCTCTGCTGTTCGCACTTCCAGTGTAACAGCACGGCCACCAAGTTGTAGGTTACGCTATTTCAGGAGTCTGTAGAGATACTCTTCTGAGGAAGAGCAGCAAGCCACATGAGATCTGAATGTTTAAAGTGCTAAGACCATTTTGCTAGCCTTGCATGAAGAGCCCTCTCCCAAATTCCCCAGCTCCTTTCCATGCTAAACAGCCCCCAGTGTTAGCAATTCTCCGGCTCCCTATTCCGTGACAGATTCTATCTCAGGTCTTAACTATTAGGCAAGTCCCAAATCACCTCTTGCAATCCTAATCTCTAGCAATCAGAAAACACAGCCAGAAGAGACCTCGAGAGGCCATCCAGGGCCTATCCTTACCCCTAGAAAGGACCATATGTCATTCCTGACAGATATTTGTTTAATCTGTTCTTAAAAGCCTCCAGTGATGGAGATTCCACAACTTTCCGAGGCAATGTATTCCCATGCTCAACTATCTCTGCTGCTGGAACTTTTTTTTAATGTTTAACAGAGATGTTTTTCTCTAATTTAAACACGTTATTTCTTGTCCCATTCAGTACAGACATGGCAAAGAGATTATTACCCCCCTCTCCCTTACAACAACCTTCTGCATAATTGAAGACTTGTCTCCTCTCTAGTCCTCTCCAGATTAAGTCCTGTTAACTGCAACCTCTATTTCTCTGTAGGTTCTAACCTCACCCTCACAAGCCACGCAAACTGCTGTCAAGCATCTATGTATAATTCCTAACAACCCTTTTCAACCAAGCTGTGCCAGGAGGAAAATCCAAGCTTTGCTTTTCTTCTCCTTACCCTTGCTTTTCTATTTCTGACTTTACTTAACACTTCACATCTAAAGTGCACTTGGCCTATCCGCTCAAGAAACCTCAAGGGAGAATTCTCTTCTAGTGCTGCTGTGACTGACACATAAGACAGCAACATCAGAAAAACCACGTTCTAGGCAACATTTTAGATTAAGCCCTCTAGTATCATACATACTAGTTTATTGCCTCTTCCTCCAGGACAACTCTTTACTTGACCTGACTATTCAAGTCTGGCATTCAGTACCCAACACCCACGGTCTCCAAAGGTTTCACTCACTGCTAGATTTGATATCTAAAACCTGTTAGGTAAACCCTAACGTCTCAGCTGCAACTGGTTAAGAATGCAATGTGATTTCCATATAGAAAGTCGTATCTGAATACAGTGCGTAAGTGTTTCACCTTTCCAGATTAATTTCAGTGCATAGTTCAGTTGCTGTTTTGACTTTTTTTGAATGGTAGAAGTAGCAGCTATTAGTAGTTTTAATCTCAAGGAGCTTTAGATTTTAACCTTAGCTAGTATATCTTCAGAGATTTTGTACATTATGATACTATTTTCAAATTCAGTTACAACCATAAAAACTCATGTCAGACTGCCCTCTCCTGGTAAGCCAACATACTGCTATCACAACAAGATTCAACCCAAGTAACTATTGCCATTCTGTTTCCAAATCTAAAATTTTCATTGTGACACAAAAGCAAACCCCAAAATAAAACATCAAGGAGACTGTTTTCATAACTTCAGTAATGTTTCTAAAGCAGCATAAGATGAACAGCATTTAAGTAGTGAAGTTTCTTTCAAGTTGCCTTAGGAGTTCTTGTCTTGGGAAAAACTGATGATGTCTGTAGAGAAAGTAAAACATGCATAAAAATGAAACTGTTCTGTTTGCTTTTAAGCTGTATAAAAGCAGCCAAGTACATAAAGTATTTTATTCCACATCAATAATGTTAAAAACAAGGTCACAGAAGAGATCATTTTCAACACAAAGCTATTTCCTTCAAGCTGGCACAGGTATTTCACTAGGGCTGAAACAGAACAGTATGAAAAATGAAAGCAACAGCAAATGTTTAAGTAGACCACCTACAGCCATCACTTTTTATTACATTGTTCAAACTAGAAAAATGAAAACAGTAAGATGACAGGTCAACTACTGAATAATATGCACTGTATTTAGTACACATACACCGAAGATTGGAAGCATCCAGAAATGAAGTACAGCGTTATTGTTTGATGAATGTTTCACTTTCTTTAGCCAATTTAATTTTTTAAAATTAATGTTATATACAATAAAGATTTAAAAGCTTTTCTTTTTTTAAAATGACCAACCTTGACACCAGAGAAGCAGAATTCATTAACTCTTTCTAACACAAAATTCAGTCTTACTTATAGGAACTCTACCCCTGCTCGTGCCCAGAAGGTAAAGCGAAGTCTTTTCAGGAGATGGTAACAGCTTCCCCACCTTCTACTCCTCCCCTTCAAGCCAGAAGTGATTTTTTTCTTATTTGCAGAGAATCTCAGCGGGTTTTTTAGGATATTTTTGAAATCTGGAAGAAAATTCATGCAGATTTCAAAAGCAATTTAAGGAATGATCAAGCACATGGGAAATATCAACACTTCAAGCAATTCTAGCTGAAAGGGCATACCTTACAACATCATGGTTTAACCACAAAAGACAAATTCACTTTTTACCTACTTCAATTAAACTTCAAAAACATAACAAAATCTTAAGCTTGAATCCTGTTCTTTCAAAAAAAGGAAAGAGCCCTATCAGCAAAATATGGATTAGTATCAACTCCCAATCGTCTAAAAAGTAACTTGTCACCACAGATCATCTTTTTTGAACTATCAGATCTGTTCTTCTTTACTTAAAACAGAGTCTCACACGTGTTTGCTGACATGTCTCCATTTAGCAACTTCATACATTGATTGTGCATTTGAGAGCAGAGCAAAGGTAGCAAGATGGTCTACTAAACACATCCAGTCTAACAATCATGACTAAGTTTCAGAGGCAAAAATCCCACGCTACTGTGCAGGTACCACAACTGTAAACATTCATCTAAACACAAGAAAATCCCAGATTGTGGTAACATGAAAACAAACGCATTCATAAACATTATTTTTGTATATTGTCTTACTGTTGTGTCTTGCAACAAAACTCACTAGCCCCTAGAGCAATCCTTCCAGCTGAGAAAAATTAGTCTTTGCCTTCTTGAAATGACTCAACTTGGTATTGCAGAGAAAGTTGGTCTTTTGTCGAGTTTTTTTATAATATTAGCAGTGTTTAATTGCTATTGCTCTATAGACAGCATTAAAGTATGAGAACACGTAAGCAAGGATGTAGACTACAATAGAGGTGATGTCAAATTCAGTTCATCATGCGAGAAAATTTTTTTTATCCTCTTGATTACCTGCCATGACTGTCTACCAGACCAATGCTCTGAGCCAAGCTAGGTCTTCCATGCAGTTCTGATCTTCAAGCATTTTAGGCATCAAGACAAGAAAAATCAGTTCTAAGTTATCCAGAAAATGAATAAGGAAATAGTAAGTAAGGAAATACAAGTGAGAGAGAGAAAAACAGCACTTAAGAGAGAGAACGTAAGAATCTAATACTGACCTTCACTTTAGAAAACCAGAGGTAGCTGAAACCTCGCTAAATGTTACAGTTCTTTTCAAGAGGTATTTCTACTTCTTCAGAGTGTTTTTGGTTACTTCTGTCCTTCCTATATACAGAATTTGTTATTCTCCTTTTCTGGGTCTGAGACCGAGTTCTGGTTTCTTGAGGTGTGGATACACACATGCTTTTCCTCCTCCATCTTTCGCAAGGACCACCAGCAAGATGAACAGAGTCATCGTTCTCCTTCCCTGGTGCTGAAAACTGGATGAGATCTTCTTCTCTATGGTGAATATTCTCAGATTCTGTAAGGATGGATGTGCTTATTGTTCCCCTGATTTTGCAAGCAGAAGATAGCAGGGGAGGGTTCTTCTGAATCTCATCGGGTACTTGAATCCATGCAAGTCCTTCAATTTCTGCATCTTTATGTAATCTCATGCTGCGCCTCACTCTTTTTTTGCCACTGGTATCGCTCTTGGTGCTAAAAGGCCCTAAGGAGTCACTTTTTAGCTGAGGAGCAGATAAGACTTCTTCCACATTAAAAGAAACTGGAAGATTGTTTCCAGTTATTTCCGATTTTTCAACAGGAGGAAAATAGATGGCACTACTTCTTCTTCTTCTTGGTGGACTACCTCTTATAGAATCTTTTTGTGGACACTGAGTTCTTTGGGCACCCTCATGTACACTAGTGTCCTGTTGTTCTAGAAATTCTAGCCCAGTTTGCCACTCTGCCTTATTTAGGAGATTTCCTTGTAATTTCTCGTTTTCTATCAAGGAACCACTTTCTTCTGCCTCTTTTATACATGCAGTCTCTTCAGCTTGCTGGAAATAGTCAGATGTATCAAAAACACACTTCGCATCTGGCACAATATTTGAAAACTGGAAAAAAAGGAAGTTTTTTTTTTTTAAATATAGGCAAAAGGTAATCCACAAAAAAAATGGTTTCAAACAGCTGACAACTAAACAACTGCTACTGTTTTCCTCACCAAATCTAGTCATTCTCAGAAAACCCCAACCAACCACAGAGAATCCTGTACTTTGGAATCTGCTCCAATGTGGGACCAAACTTATGCTGCTTGAGACCTTGTTCAGTTGAGTTCTGAATACCTCCTTCCAATGATGGAGATTCCGTGGCCTCTCCAGGCAGCCTGTTCCAATGTTTAATCACTCTTAGAGTTAGTTTTTTTCTTCCCCCAAAACATTACTTTTTTGATTCAACAACATCACGCACAGTTCTGACTTATTTTCTAGCAGTATCCTTAAGCGTATCAGTTACCTTATGATCAAGGCCAGAAACAGACTTCAGATCATCATCTGACACCTGAAAGACTGTATCATTGGAGCTGCTGGCTTCTACAACGTCCAGGTCCTTAGAGCTTGAATACATATGAACTGCACGGATGTTTTTCCCTCTCATTCTTTCAACCACTAGCTTCTGTTGAACATCCTTGCAAGCATTCCTGGATTTGGTATTATCTAAAAATATGTCCCCTGAATTAGAATAAACACATGGTTACTTGACTCTACTTGTGAATGTACAAAATCTATTTTTAAATATTACAATAAAAGCTTTGTAGTATTTTACTTAAAGTACTTTACTTAAAGTAACCTTCTAAACAACCATTCCAGATAAGGAATTCCAACCTCAATGATTCTATGATTCTATGATTAGTGTAAAAAAAAAACCCAACAACCAACAGAAAGCTACTGCACTTAACTATTCATGCCCAACTTACCAGTTTTAAAGACTAAGAAAATATCAGTATCCAGTCAAAGTACAAAGGGGCTTTTTTTTTTTTTTTTTTTCAGTTTTACACTGGAGTCCAACAAGAGTTAAATTTATCCAGTTGGAGATTAATAATCTATCAGATCCTCTGGACTCTACTATTACAGAAGTAATTAAAAGTAAAATATGTATACTGGGCTCTTTACCTGTGCACAGAACTCAAGATAACTATCAACAGGTTTTTTTATGTAACTGTTGAAATAAAAAAATTAGAAGCAACAGCAAGAGCAAGGCGAGACAAAACTGAAAACCACATTACCTGAAAAAAACGCATTTGCCTTTGGTGAGTTTGGAGACGAGGGAGAAGAGAAAGCCTCTGGAATTTCAGGGATAGGGCTGAGAAGAGGTTTCTTAGAAGCCATCTCTCTTTCCCCATACAAAGATTTTTTTACTTTTTTCTTTCTTCTTTTCCCATAGCTTGTATGTTTTATTTTCTGAAAAGATTGAGAAGACTGAAGAGAGCACGATGTAATTGCAATGATCCTGTACAATATTTTCCAACAAATAAGCGACACCATTACTGGATTTTGATAGATAACAATTGTTTCCCCTAAAATGAAGGTTCCACTTGTTCTGCCATCTACAAATTAACCTAAAAACTCAAAGTAAAGGAGAATTACTTCTCAAACACGAGATCTGATTTTTGTTTCATTTAACCAAATCTAGAAGTCCAAGAAATTAGTCTTTCAGCTCAAAACTACAGATTCTTCATTCATGCTTAGTTTGAAAAGGAGTATGTGCTTTCTCTTCCAATACATGAAGGCAAAAATCTTTTAGAAGTCTCACACCTTTACAATACTTAACTAGCACATAACTGGACAAGTTCAAAGAACTATTACTGCATACACTTGGTAAGAAAACCACCATAAACTCATTTTCTGTCCCTGAAGTCTGAAAAGTGACACCACCACCCCCCACCACCTCCATAAAGTATCCTTTTTGCCCTACAAGTATTTAAACCCTGCTCGTCAGCCTTAACGAACAGTAAGAAAGAGAGGTGTGGCAGTAAGTGTAGGAAAACAAGATAGGCATGAAGAAGAGAATATTGGCAGCAACAGGAAACATAACACCCTTCAGGAAATCTTTACTACAAAGATCAAAATAATCATGTAAAACACGTAAGAAAGAAGAGACACTTGGATAGAGAAATAAAAGTAGTATTCACGAACTGCAGTGGGCTGTCACTTACTTGTGTCTTTTTGGCAGCAGACGTGGTTATATTCTTTAGTCTTTGAAACTTGTTCTTTCTTGGATTTTTAGTACCTTTAGCATTCTTAGTATTTGTGGCTCTTGAGACGCTAAAAGCAGTCCCCTCTGAAATTGTGCTACACTGTTGAGGAACATGAATTTTAAGTTGTTGGGGTGCATGTTTATGTGCGCATGCATATGCTTGCTTTTTTTAAAAATACACCACAGTCCAACAGTCATAAGAATGACAATGTAAATTAGTCTCCGTATGAGAAAATAGTAAGTTTTCATCTTCAGCTATTTCTTTCAGCTAAGATAGGTTACTTTTTTCATATTACTTTTTTTTTTGCCTTCCCCCTCCAATAAAGCACACTAGAACTGTACAACACTGAAAGCACTTCTTACAGAAATTGTTGTACAATAAATTCTATGCGCCTTGAGATTCCAGCAACCGGAAGAGATACACGTATGATATTCTGTTTGTCTGCTGGTTTCGGATCATTATATAATATTCTTATATCTGCCTTATGGCTAGCAGACAAAAAGGTTAACAAGACTGAAGATCTTTAGCACTGGACTTGGGAACACAATCACATTTTCAGTGATACCGAAAGTCATCACAAGTTGCAGAATAAACTTCACTTTATTAGCCTCTATCTCATGTTCCTATATCTCAAAGAAATTAAACCAAATAGAAAAATTAGACAGAAAACTTTGTTTCCATTCTCGTCAATTTTCTGTGATTGTAACTTCTTAGATTCCCATGAGTGAAGCCCCTGATCCTACGAATGAAAGTCTATCAATAAATCTCTTCTAAATTTTGACAGACTATTTGGGAAAGTTCCTAGAAAATTCAATAGAAATAGTAAATTTAAATATCAGGCTATAACCAAAAGTGTTTTTAATAACTGGAAACCACTTTCACTCAAAAATGGGATTTCCTTAAGACAGTTACCTGCACTACATGAGTATTTCCATATACCTGGATATATACAATCCTCATACCTGAGGCTGTAAAAACTCTTATAAGCATCAGGAGGTATAAAAGATAACAATTCTGCCTGAAGAAGTTAAAAAACCAAAAAAACAAAAAACCAAACATCATCACTAAAGAAACTTACCTTCCTTTTAGTAGAAGAACGAGTTCTTATCATAACAGATTTGTCAGTTTCTGCTATTATATATGAAGAAAATAAGAATATTGATTCAGTTTCAACACAAAAAGTTAATCACCTTTTGAGGAAATTATCCACATAATTTCTAACATTATGCACAGCATGTTTAGTCATCTTAGTCTTGAGTAATGTTTTCTGCATAAAGGACTATCAAACATGGCAAGATAAAAAAACTTAACAGCTTGCTTTACAAAACAGAGGAAAACAAGATGTGAGGATTTGGTAACAAAATAATTAGCACTTGCACAGCTTTCATAGAGATACATACATACACACAACCCCCTTTCAATTTTTTTTGTTGTTGTTGTCTTGCTTGCTATTTTAACATCAAAATTACAGTATCAGAATCAAGACAGTAAGCCCAGTTACTTAAAGCAGTAAGTCTAATGAGATCAGCCACTTTCACAGAAAAATACCACAAGGTCAAATTAACATCCAGTTAACCTAAACAACATGTAAACACTGCTGCTACTGCAAAGACCTTTAGGAGAAAGCAAGAGCATTTAAATTTTAGCATAACTGAAATATATCCCCTGTATAAAAAGCAAACAAACAAAAAACCCTGTGTCATCTCTCAATTTTCAGATACAGAAAGATGTGTTATCTAATGACAAAAATACAAGTTGGGGTTACCTTCTGTGTTTTCAACAGGTAAGACGTCTTCTGCAGCAACAGAACCCTCCATTAACTCTTGAAGAGGCTCAACACATTCCTTTAAAAAAAGTAGTTAAATTTTTTAGCAATATAGTATACCAGATATACACTGAAGAACACCTTGTCCACTAGTGTTTGGAACACCCAGGCGATTTTATTTTTTTTCCTTAAAGAGTGAGGCAGCTCATTTGCTATATATGGCAAAAAGAAATACACTATCAAAAGTGTATGAATAAGCCAAGACAAAAAACATTTCATGTGCTACCAGTACTCAACTTTGAACATAGCTCTACAGGCCAAAATGCTATTTAGAATTCATAAAGCAAAAGCAAAAGTTCTCAATGTCATTCTAATGCTTCAAGCAGACTGTATTTTAATATTTTAGCAATTTCTTTTCAAAACCAAGCAGACTGGGGAAAAACTTAAACAAAAATTGAACATTCAGAGACTAAGAGGCTGTTTTTATAGCTTTAAAAAACCCAACAAAAAACTTACATCACTGCAATCAAAGTTCGGCTGGGATAATGGCCCTTCAATGAGACTTAACCTTGCAAAAGGGCTATTACTTTGTAATCCTGGATGACGGACTGGCGTTGCTCCTTTGCGCAATGGAGTATTTGCAGGCAAAGTTTCGTCAAATATTTCTGGGCTTAGAACTTCTCCAAAAGTAACTCTTTTCTTCTTTGGCTTTTCAGAGCTATGTGTTTCAGTTTTCTCTACGGTAATAAAATACATAGACTGCTTAATGAATTGAAAACAGAGCTTTCACAGACCAGAGACTTTTCAAGGTCTTTTTATGGGCATTAACATTCTCTTAAAAATCACACCCTCCCCCAACCAAACAGCAAAATACCACCTTTACATGTCCTGTGGATTCAACCAGAATTTTCAGTGCAGCTTTATTACAGTATCAAGAATTAAGGAAGAAAGAAAATAGAAGACTAGAAATGACTAGCTGTTCCACAAGTTCCAGTTGACAAGTGTAAAATTTCTTGAAAAATAGGTGATTCTATTCTGGTATTAGAGGCTTTCTGAAGTCTTGGTGTGTTTGTGGGGGGGTTTTTTGGGGTTTTTTTGGGGGGTTTTTTGTTTTTTTTTTTTTTTTTGGGGTTTTTTGGTTTTTTTTTTTAAACAGACATTACATTATTTTTTTTTTGGTTTTTTTTGGGGTTTTTTGGTTTTTTTTTTTAAACAGACATTATTTTCCTTGGCAACCTTATTTTCCACTTCACACAGTAGGATGCCACACACAAGCTACTTCAGTGGAGGTTAATGCATATCATTCTTCAGATTTACCAAAGAGGCAAGACTTTGTGATCCCACATAATGCTCTGCCTATTTAAAAAACAAAAGGGGAATCTGACCTGTTTGCAATGCTTCAGAGATTTCTGCACAACTGGAGACTGCGAAAGATTCACCTCCTCCTCTGTCAACTGCATCGTGCGAGTATTCCTATCAAATTTAAATGATACAATCACCTATTCAATACCATTTAGTTAAAATGTTGTCCTTGTACAAATCAAAAGTGAAAATAACTTTTTCTGTAAGCAACATTTAATAATCAGTCCTATTGTTTAAAAAAACTACTTGTTTTCTAAATGAATAAAACTCAACAACATCCATACAAATCTTCTCATAACATGAAAGCTTCAAACAGAACTTCCAAAGATGACCAAACAGCAAACAGATATCCATTGATAGCATTAAATTATTTCCGATGCATGTCAATTAGACAAAAATTATCTTTAACCACGATTCAACTTCTGGTAGTTCAATAATGACTGCAGAAGTTCATCCTTAGTATTAGTACCTCCATGTAATTCAGTTAACCAACCTTCACGCTATCCATTAGTTGCTTCATCAGCGTTTTCTTCAACACAGATCGCAAACAGGAGCCACTCTGCGTATGTTCATTTAATGAAATATTTCCCGTTTGTAGTGGCGTGATAGGTGGCTTGCTTTCATCAAATATTTCCAGGCTCTGTTCTTCCACAAAAATAACTTTCTTTCTGCTTAGATCTGATTTAACATTACTTCTAACGTCTTCAGTCATGTGGTCAGAACTGAAATCTTTAGAGCAAATAGACAGATATGACAATTAAAGACAGCATTAAAATTTAGAAGACTTTAGTATTAGCAACATGAACTATAAATGTACACATCTCCATAGATTCTGTGCATCAACATCACAAAAAAATCCATTCGTTTCTAAATTTCTGCTATTATTGTGCCACATTTACATTTCATATTTTGAGAAATTTACAAAACATACAAAAGTAAAAAGGGAGCATTGCATGAAGGAAAAGACATTTTGCATAAGGATTTCTCTCTCATCCATGTAAATTGAGGGCGGGGGGGGAAGCATTCTCTAATGTACAGAGAGGGACTCTCTACATTAACATCCCTCTCTCCTTCACAGGCATGAACTACTCAACTATACTTTTCCCTAAAAATGGCCTGACTAGCAAAATTAAGGAAAAGTCTAAACAATTATTCCCAGCCCGCATCTCAGTTTGAGCTCGCTTTTTCTATCAGAATCAAACTGCTAACATACCACCCAAGAGGCCCTACCCTACATTCCAAATATTTCAGCTCCTCTCATAAAAGCTATTTCCTTCCTATGAATTGTGCTTAAGTAAAAACATGTTTAATGCTATGCTGTACTGAATAAGCTCTGAATTCAGTTTTTAAACTGGGACTCGAGCCTCCTCTGCAGCAGCACTTGAATAGATCGTTATTTGCAGTACTTTTTTTTTTGTTCCCTCACCAGCCTTTATGTCAGTTATATCAGGTTCTACTGCATTATAAATTGTAGACAAGACGACAGACATGGGATGACTGCTTGTGAAACATTTCCTTACAAATATTCTAAGTACTTTTACTTCCTAATAAGAATATAACAAAGATTATAACAGTGATAAATCCTCTTACCATGGCCTGTTTCTAAGATATCTCTAATTACAACAGCCTCCAATGACTCAATAGGATTGTGTTGCTCATAAACCCATTCCTAGAGAAAAAGTTACAAGATTATATATATAGGGAGAGCATCTATTTATATACACACCCACACAACATGATAAAGAAATAAACTACTTGCAAATGCCACCTTTTAAAATAGCATCAATTACAGAGTTTTTTTAATCCCATAGACAAGGATCGCGGAGTTCTCAATCATCTACTACTTTAGTTGAATTTATTTTCCCAAAACACCAAGGCTAAAGGCTTAAAAGGATTAGACATCAGAAATGAAAAAAGATGGAATGAAAAACCGGTATATTTTAATCACCAATTTAGGAAGTTTCTTCCTAACCTCCATACAACTGTTACGCTATCACAGCTGTTTTACAACTCAGAAGCTGCTAGGTCCAGCAGCATCAGAGGACACACCTAGCAAAATGGACCCCATCCTCACTGTTTTTATATATGAGACTAATAAAAGGGTCACTAGAGATATTTATATAGAAGACAAATTAAATTCTCCACCTGTACACAAGTACATCCTTTTTTCTGCATGGAATATCAAATAACTGCCAAACAGATATAAGGTGAAGATTAAAAATTGCATTCAGAGTCATCCCAATGATCAACAAAGTTGGTTTTGACATCTGGAAAAAGCTGTATTTGCCATATCTGTGAATCTGACATCTCACATAGTTACAGCTGCACATTCAAAAGAATTAAGACATATTTAAATTTTATGAATAGAATAAAATAAGCTTTTCCATGTGATTATCAGAAAAGAGTATAATCTTACTGACTAGAACAGCTTATAGCATCCACATCGAACATTTGCATGTGTGCTGGTTTTGGCTGGGATAGAGTTAATCTTCTTCCCAGTAGCTGGTATGGGGCTGTGTGCTGGATTTGTGCTGGAAACAGTGTTGATAACGCAGGGATGTTTTCGTTACTGCTGAGCAGTGCTGACACACAGTCAAGGCCTTTTCTGCCTCACCCCACCCCACCAGCGAGCAGGCTGGGGGGGCACAAGAAGCTGGGAGGGGACACAGCCAGGACAGTTGA